CTGTGACATCACCTGTACACTCGGCACTTGACATGCAGGAATTTGATTGAGTCAAGGCACTCATCTGCACAGAAGGGCATCAATTTCCACAAAAATGATTATGTTAATTGCATAAATGTAAAATACAACTAACTAACTAACAGGAATCCAAACCTTGTGCAATGCTCGTGATAGCAAAGATTGACTTCCTATGGGATCATCCGCATAAGAACAAGCTCCGACTTTTCTCTTGACATATAAAACGCCTGAATTAAAAGGGTGGTGCTGGTCCCCAGATTTCCACCAACCTTTTTCTGTGAAGAATTAATATTTATGTCATCAATAGCGCAATCAAAAAAGCTCACAACAGTGATGTGTGAAGAGCATCAGTCATACCCTCAGGACAAAGCTCAATAACCTGAGGCCAGTATCGAGGACCACAGACACGAACAGATTTTAACTGCAGTAAAAGATTTAAAGAATACAAAACAATAATAATTAAGTGCCACAAAAAAGGAGTAAAAATAAAAACAGTTGGTTGTTACTGCCATAGGAAGTGGAATGGAGGTTAAAACCATGCTACTCATGATGGAAGTTGATATATAATACATTCATTCATAGAACTTGCATAATAGGCCATGATAACTGTTAGGAGCTATGTTTGTCCGACGTCAATCAGTTACTAGGAAGCTATTATATATGTGTGGAATTTTTGGGGATGAGTTGTGCCCAGCCGTATCGCGCAGATTTGTTTGTTTGTTTGGAGGTGATGCTAGGTTTGGATCGTCATGCTAAGGTGTTAGAAGTAATGTTGGTCCCATGTCATTTAGTTACTGGGTGGTTGTAGTGTTTAAACCCTCTACCTTTGAATTAGCTTTTAGAGATGAGCTCTACCTGGGCCCATTTTATCAATAATGGATGCAGTTCTTTAATTAGCTAATTGTTGAGATGCATAAGAAGTGATAAGTAATGAAGGTATCACGTTTCTAATAAGGGATCAACTTTTGATATAGAATGAAAAATATAAATCTAACGATATAAGAGCACATATGTAAGGTGAATAAGAAAGGTTTAGTGGAAGAAAAATATTGAAGACTTACACTAAAACGTTCTGGGAGACTGCATGGAGTGACCTCACAAAAACTTGTTTCATTATAGAGCTCAGTTTCTTTAATTGCAACTTCCAGAGGGACATAAACTGGTAAGCCTGTATCCACGTCAACCGTCTGAATCCAACGAGCTTCGGCAGCAAGAACATACAAGTGCCTGAATGCCTGTCGTTAAATACACTACAAATCAGAAAAATATAACTTAACACAAAAGCCAAACTTACTGCTCAATGCTCAGATTTTGATCATGAAATTTAACAGTAACTATTACAGAAACGTCAGATACAAAAGAAAACTTGAGGAAATGCAAATAAAATCATAAACAAAAAATCAGAAAATGAATCATGCAGATTTTTGTTTATGTTTTGCCGACCTTGATCCATTTACCATTTATGTTCCGTAATAAGATAACTATATATACAATCACAAAATAGCAAACATAAAAGAATGAATCATGCAGATGCTAGTGTAGAAGAAAAAAAAAACAAAAAAAAAAAAGAAAGAAGATAACCATTGATTTACCATTCATACTTTAATGTTTTTCGACCTAAATCCATTTACCATTTATGTTCCGTAATAAGATAACTATATATACAATCACAA